ATGGAGACCCTGCCCATGTCTTATCTGCCCTGTGCCCACCTCCCACTGTTCCCAAGGATCCCCAGCTCCCGCGGGCACCTTGTCTAGCAGCAAGAAGATGGGAACGATGATGAAGAGGATGATTAGGAGGGTCTGGATCATGATGATACCATCTTTCAGTGTGTTCCGCTGCTTCAGTTGGTCCAAGGTGCTGAATCCTGGGGCAGGGGGACAAGACATAATGCTGGAGCTGAAGGTTAAATATAGCGGCTCTTTGGACACCCTCAGGACCTACTGCCCAGCAGCTCTCCTGAGAGTTCTAGGGCTATAGCCACTTCCCCTGGTAGGCAGGCTGGGCTGGGGCGTGGGCGTGGATGGCTACATGAACAGAAATCTACCCTGCACACACCTAGGACTTTAATTTCTGAGCCACAGCTCCAGGCCGCATCCAAGTTGGTGTTGTTACATTGTTGCTTGCAGAAGTAGACACCGTTGTCCTCAAACTGGATGCTTTGGATGGTGAGGGTGGAGACAGAGCCATTCTGCATCATTGAGATGTGTCCTTCATTTTGGACCAGCTTCTGGGGCTCCTGGTCCCCTTGCTTTCTGAACCAGGTCAGGATGCTAGAGTATTTTGAGGTGCAGGAAAGCTTCACCATGGAGTTTCGCTTTTTGGCTACATACCTTGGGTACTGGTATATCTCGGAACAAGAGCTTCCTGTGGACACCAAGGCAAGGTTCGAAATCTGGCTTAGTGTCTTCCTGTTTGCAGCCTAGCCCGCTGTGGAAGACCCTGACCCAGTTTAGTTGACCTTACATGTCTTGAGCATCGGGTTTATGAGACAGTCCAAAGGCAGAGGTGTGAGGAAGTAGGTCATGTGAGAGGCCACATATCATACCACAGACTGTTACACACCTCTGCCTGATCAAACTTCTCTCCACTTGTCTTTCCTTAAAAAGAATTCTGGAACTTTCCATTGCTTTCATGTCCACTATAACAGCTAGAACCAGACCTCATCTGCTGGACAGCCTTCTTGGCCTCATTGGTTACTTCAGCTCTTTGGGCTTTCCTACACCCACCCCAAATCCTCAAGGGCTCCCCACTGTCCCCAGGGTGATAAAGGTTGAATGCTTAGGCTGCCCCCTGAGGCCCTCCTCTCTTACCCTCTCGACCCTTCTCATAGACCCACCCCTCTCCATGTTCAGGCCTGAGAGGTTGGTTGGGTCTCGGCTACACAGACCCAGGCCTGAGGCCTTGTGGAATCCTATCTAGTTGTCATGCTCTGATCCACAATGTTGGCTTAGTTCTGGCCCTCGGCAGCCAAGACTGGAGCATACTAGCCTGATGAGGGATGACAGCCATCCAGAAATGGAGCTTCAGTGAGAGACCTTAAAGAGTTGTAGGTATGGGACCCCAGACGAGGAGTTCCAGGCAAAGATATGGGACCACAGTGGCTAGGGCTGAACAGATACATTTGCTTGTGAAGTGAGGGGTGAGGCAACTGACCTTGGAAATTCTGTGACAGGTCACTGTTTGTCATTGCTGGTAGCAGCTCACCTGGAGGGTGGGAGGAAGTGGGCAGGGCTATGTCAGGCCTCTCTACCCTCAGTTGATGGCTCCACCCTTACCCCCTCCACATTCCCAGGGTCACTTCCTCCTTCCAGGACTACAGCTTCAAGGCCCTTTAACTCTCCCTGTGTCTGTACTAAAAAGAGGCAGAAGTAAGGTGGGGTACTGGAAGCCCCACTCCCGGCTCCCTTCTGCCCTTGACCCTCAGGCTGGCCTGGAGCTTCTGCAGATAACTCGAGAAGGCCACGTATGGGAGGGCTTGCCCAGTCTTTCAAAGAGAGGACCATTCCTGAACCATGCTATCTTCCAGGTCATGGGGACCAGCATTTCCCATGCTCTGTGCCCTCAGGGTTTAGCTGGGAGCCCCCATGCTGTCCCCTCTTCCTCCTGGGCTCGGCTCTTCCAGGTCATAGCTGCCAACAAGATTAGCCCCTTGCGCCCAGCTCACCCTGAAACCCTCCCCGCTGGAGAGGGGCTGGGACCTCAGGCCCTGAGCCTTCCATTAAGACCCACAAGCTAGGCATAGGACAGTCAGACAGAGGCAAACGCGGGAGCCTGAGCAAGCAAGAGTCTGAGCCTGAGTCTCGACCCAGGACGAGCCGACAGGCCTGTCTCAGAGCCAGCAGGCCTATTGTCTGACACGTAAGCCATACCTGAAAAAAGCAGCAGCAGGAGCAACAGCCAGGGGCAGGACATGGAAGATGGCACCAGTGTGGTCATGGTCTCTGCTCCGTCTCTGAGTCCAGGCCCGTCACCACTCAGGAGGTTTTGGGGAGAAACATGTAACTGTGTGTCAGCCTGGGCTGCAGCCGGTCTGCTCTCTGCCTCTACCCCGGTAGGCCCCTTCCTGCCATGCAAATTGAGACCCAGGGGAGGCACCATTTCCCTAGGGACCCTAGGGGAGGGAGGCCTCATCAGCTGGCCTGCTGGAGCTTGATGGTGGCCCTGCCTGGACAGCAGAGCTTGGGGTTCTGTGAGACAGTAGAGACCCTGGGAGGTGGGGGGTGCTCCTGAATCTTCTAGGGATAGCCTGTGCTCCTCTCTCTACACCCCCCCCCCCCCGAGGTCATTTCCTGGGCCGGCCAGCCTCGACTGTGGGTGCCTTGCTCTGGAAGAGCAGGGCTTGGTGCAGTTAACTAAACACATACCAATCCTCTGTATCAGTGGTTCCCAGCCTGTGGGTTGTGATCATCGGAAACACACATTTCTGATGGTCTTAGGAACCCCCAACTATAAATTTATTTGTGTTGCTACTACATAACTGTAATTTTGCTACTGAGAGGTAGCATCAGAAATAAGTATTTTCTGCCGGGCGGTGGTGGCGCACACCTTTAATCCCAGCACTTGGGAGGCAGAGGCAGGCTGATCTCTGTGAGTTCAAGGCCAGCCTGGACTACAGAGTGAGTTCCAGGAAAGGCACCAAAGCTACACAGAGAAACCCTGTCTGGGGGTGGGGGGGAGGGTTTCCAATGGTTGTGACCCACAGGTTGAGAATCATTGCCTAAATGAATCTGACCTTGGGCTCTCTGCCCTGGGCAGCCTTTATCCTATAGGAAGAGGTACACTGAGGAAGGACAGTGCAGGGGACAGACTCACACCAGGCTGCTGGAGAGGTCCAGAGAAAGGTTCCTTGGAGTAGAAAGTCATGTCAAAAGTTGACTCTTGGGAAGGGAGCCATGAGGTTCTTGTGCAAAAGCATGCCAACTGATAGAAAAACATACAGCCTAGGGCCTTGACAGGACCCTCCTCTCCTTGCATGTGAGGTTGCTGTGGGTTGCCAAAGGGGCTGGACTTAAGTTTCTAACCATTTAGGGAAAATCTGCCACATAAGCATCAAGGTTGAAGGGGCTTTTCCGGGAATTCTGTGGGATGCTGAGGTCACCGAAGCGTTGTATGTAGCTCTAGGGGTCCTGAGTAGGGGTGAGGTTGAGATGGGCCAGCCCTCTGGTTCTGTAGGCTCTTTGGCTCTGTCTTGACAGCAAGCATGACCATAGGGACCACAGCATTCAGGGGTTCATCTGAGCTTAGCTTTGTGTCCTTGTCTCGGGGTCTGGGCAACCCTTAGCAGCCTCGGGCCTTCGAGTCTTGTGTCTCCCCCTAGAAGCTTCTTTTTCTGTCTTGTGTCCTGATCCCCAGGAAAGACAGACAGATGTTGAATCTTTGGTAGTCTCTTTGCATCTCACTGTCCCCACAGCAGCCTGTGTGGCTGGCAGGATGGCCCACATTTGGAGAATAGCTGCCCTTTTCTTCCCACAGCAGGGTTGGAAGGTGGGGGTGGTGTCTGGACACTCCTGCCTCTGTCCTGAGCCTGTACCTCACTTGACAGTATGAGGGGCAGCTACCAAGGGAGTACAGTAGGCTGGGGTCCTGGGTTATGGAAACTGGGGGGAAGAGGGTTAAATTTTTATCTGAAAAACAATTCATTCCGGGCAGCCCCACATGTTTTTGATTCTTTCCAGATGTTCCCAATGGAAAAAAAATTCTCTGAAAAGGTGTCAGATGTTCAGCTCACAGGAGACACGGCACCGGAAAAAGAATGTCGCCTGAGGTCAGCATGGGGATCATAGACCCTCCCCTGGCAGTGAGTCCGAGTCCGGGGTCCCTCCTCTCAGTAGACTGGACGCTGAAGAGGTGATGATAGAAGGCTTGTTGGCTTTGAGGCTGGTGAACCTCAAAGTTGGGAGGTTAATAGCAAAGTTTTCGGGGGTCACACGCGTGCTGTCTGGGCTGTACAGGGGGCAGTGATTGCTTAGGAGGTGGCTCTGAGCTCAGGTGTATGGGGGGGCCACGAGGGGTTGGCGGGGGTGGTTGACATCAACATGCCCATGGGAGGGATGCAGATGAGCCCTTTGGCCTTCATCCCCATTCATGCCAGGCAGGGAGCCAGTGAGGCCCCCACCACCACACGGCTATTTGTCACAGTTTGGGCCATGCTGTTCCCTTGCTAGTGACCGCCTCACTAAGCCTTGTACGAGCGTGTGACGCCCATTCCTTCCCAGAACAGGAGGCCTTGTAACCCACCCCCGCCTCTGCCCTGGCCTGTCCTAGCTACGCAGCCCAACATCTGGTGACCTCTCTCTTCCCCTTTCCAGGAAGACAGCACCAAAACAAGACATGGAAGACAGGAGAGAAACAAGGTGCTCAGGCGTGTGGAAAGAAGTCAGGGACTCCACGATGGGAGAGGTTAGGAAGTGCGTCTGAGAAAGAAGAGCTCAAACCTTTCCCATTCTTGCCTCAGTATCCTGGGCATGTAGACCTTAGGTGCCAGGAGGAGGGGCTGGTAAACTCAGGTTCAACCCTGTGCGCTAGCCAAAGTCCCTCACCTAGGAGCACCTGGAGATGTGCCTGAGCAACCGTGACAGTCACAGAGGTGCCCTTGGCTCACAAAGGCTCTGGATAAGATGGATCATGGCCCATGTAGTAATTTCGCAGCCTGATCTGCCAACAGCAACCAGGGAGAAAGTACCCAGTCCTAACCACGGAGAGACCAAGCCTTCTCATCTGAATGAAACAAAGGCAATCCCTGTAGCCTGCTCTCCATAGAGGTGGCTGTGCCCACCGGAAGCTGCCCTGCACCCTTGGCTGTGTGAGCACTCTACCAAGAGAGGGATGGGGAGGGAGAATTTTGAGACCCAAGCCCCTGGTATCCACACCCCCCACATGTTTTTCCTTTCTTCTTCTGCCAGAGATCCAGGAAAGATGGGCTGGGGCCCCCTGCAATCCTTCTGTCCTCGGGGCTGGGGAGACTCAAATAAGTTCTGGAGAAGTAAGTGAGGAGAGACCTCTTCCCCGGGGAGGAGGCGCAGGAACCCTGCAGAGTGGGTGAGCCCAAGCTCAGGGGTGTTCATGCTTAGAGTCAGGAATTGCTCTAGAAAGTATACTTCCATGTAAAATAACACCCCACCCACTGGGCACATACACCAAGCTTGCCTTGTAAAAAATGGTCTCTGCTCTGCACAGGTCCCTGGTCTGGTGGGGACCGGGGCCAGCACTGAGTAAACAGCACCTCAGAGCAGGGTGGACTACCACGAACCCCACAAGTGCCTTAAGGTCTGGATGAGGGGAAAGAGAGGTGAAAGGGGCCTCTGGAGACAGGGGCTATGGACGCAGGATCCCAACACATATTTTGGGGGGCTACCCATTAGAAGAGAAGGAGCGTGAGGACAAGCCTGGACTTCCTCTTCCTGTCCTGGCTCCCAGAGGCTCTTGCATCATCCCTACTTGGCACAATTGCTGGTTTCCCCTTCTTCTTGCCTCCCTCAGCCCTTACCTGCATGAAGGTGCAGAAGGAGACCACATCCCAGAGGCACCAGGGGGAGAGTTTATTATAAGAACTGTACAAAGAAGCTTATCTGACAGCCTGGCTTTGAGCTGGTTCCCACCTAGGGAGCAGGGTTCACTCCTTAGAGAGGTCCAGGGGCAGCCACTGCAGACTCTGATCACGGCTCTTCCTCTGCAGTGATTTCTGCAGTTGGTGGAGAACGTCAGACCTAACAGATTCCTGAGGCTCTGGGGGCCAAACCAGGCTGGGCCCCCCGTGTGGGAAAGGCGTGGTTGGCAGGTTCTGGGCAGAGGACTACTGACTCTCCCTGGGGAAGCTTTCTAAAGGGACAGTCAGTTGCCATAGGAAGGAGATCTCAACTCCTTCGACAAAGAGACACGGGAAGGAGACACAGAGTGGGGACGAGACCGTGGGTGTGAGGACAAGAAATGGAGAAAGGGGAAGATCGAGTCTCTGAGGAGGGAGCCACAGGGACCTCCAGGCGAGGCAGGGAGGGGCTGAGAGAGCAGAGCAAGCAAGGAGACTGACCCGAGTGTGCACATATGTGAACACACGTGTGTGCACACCTACCTTGTCTGAAAGTTTGGCCGATTCCTGAGTTTTACTCAAACTGTTTATGAGCAACAAGAAGGAAAAAAAAAAAAAGGAATTTAGGCCAAGTAGGGCTGCAAGTGCAAGGTTTAGAATGTGTGTTCATCCTTATTTACTTCCTCACAGCAAAACTCACTCTCCTACATTTAGGGATACTTAGATGAGCAGCCCTGCGGTGGAGACACACACTTCCATCCTCTCTTCTCCCTCTCTGTCACACGGACACACACAGACACAAACATTCACAGATACACGTGTGTCTGCAGACACAAGTGGTTCACATACATACGGGTGTGTACAAACACACGAACTCAGGCTCACAAGCAGGTGCGCAACCACACAGATATACAGGGACACACACAAGTGTCTGAATCTCAAGACCCCTGAGCAGGACGCTCACTCCCTCTTCCCAGCCTGATCTCTGTTCTTTGAGAGTCGGCAGAACCTGGTCCTGGTGAGCAGAGCTAAAGAAAGTGGCTTTCAGCTGGGCGGTGGTGGCGCACGCCTTTAATCCCAGCACTCGGGAGGCAGAGGCAGGCGGATCTCTGTGAGTTCGAGGGCAGCCTGGGCTACAGAGTAAGTTCCAGGACAGCCAAGGCTACACAGAGAGACCCTGTCTCAAAAAACCAAAAGAAAGAGAAGAAAGCAAATGGCTTTCTTTCCAGGCCGCAGGAAGACTGAAGCCAAACCTGGTGGGCCTTCTTGATGGCATGCCATAGCCCCAGCATCAATACCTCTCCCGTGAGCTCGGTTCTAACATTCTCAGGGTCACTTTGAGGAAGCAGGAAAGACAAGGAGCAGGGAAGAGATGAGCAGAGATTAGACAATAAGGAGGAGAGGTCTCAGCCCTGGGGGTCAGAGGAAGGCAGAGAGAGGAAAGAGGGAGCGAACAGATTCTTTTTAGAGAGTATCAAACCTGACAGCAGCCAGACCTAGGGGCTCAGGCCCAAGCACATGAACGCAGCTGGCAGGACCCAGCCTGTAGGACCCATCCATGCATCCTAGAGAAAGGTAATTCCCGAGGGGAATCCTTCCTTGGTTCTTCCCCCCAGGGGCCAGCCAGGGGAGCTGTCCACCGGCCTGGATATGACTGGGTGAAAGGTTTCAGAAGTCATGTTTCCAGCCTGATAAATCCGGATCCAGTGGCCAATTGGCTCTGTGCAGCAATTTCGGTACCGGAACTATTTCCTTTTTACAGGGCACTCCTGAGCTGGCGGGGGGAAGCTGCGCCCGAGTCACAGGGATGGGAGCCCTGGCTAAGTTTTGGGGTCAGGTGTAGGTTTTCGAGGTTAAGACTTGTCTTTGTCCTGGCTAGAGCTGGGGGACTTGGGCCCTTAAGAGCAGTGCCAGCAAGGCAGCCAATCCCTCCATGATATGCTGGCCCTTCCCCAAGTAGGGAACAGCATTCTGGCGTCCTGGCCAAGAGAATGTCTGTCACGGCAATGTAAAGATGAAATTGGGAGGCAGGGGCTTCGGCCCCACCTGAGCCCTGGCACAATTCCCATTTCCCTCAGCCCGGGCGTCAAGCCCTGAATAGCCCCTGCCTCAAAGTCCCATCCTCCAGCTCTGCACACAGCTCTCTCATGGGAGCTTCAGGCCTGTGTCAATGCTCAGCTGGCCACCTTGCTACCACTCTCTATACAAGAGACTCTTTGACCCCTGGCCGCACAGTCTGCCCCTGTGGTGGTGATGGTGGTGATGGCGTTGATGATGGTGGTGGTGCTGATGGTGGTGGTGATGCTGATGGTGGTGGTGATGCTGATGGAGGAGGAGGAGGAGTCTGGGCAGTGTCCAAGGGGCTGGTGGGTGTGAGCTCCATGGTGGGTCCAGCATCCCCTGTAGACCCCTTCTCCTCCTCCCCCTGGCTCTGCACACCACTGTTCTCATTCTCAGGGCCGTACATCTTGTTCATGGTGTTGGCAATCAAGCCCTCCTTCTCGGGGGCTCCGTCTCCGTTGCCATCCTGGCTGTGGCGGTACATGTAGGAGGCCTGCTTCATAGAACGCTGCAGCAGGTGGCGGCGATAGGCCCTCTGGATTTTGATAGCACACACCTCCTCCTGCTTCCTCTTGAGGGTGGTGGTGATGGGCTCATAGGAGACCTTGGAGGGGTTGGCCGCCATAAACTTCTCCTCCATGGTCTGCTTGAGGGCATCCATCTCCCCAGAGTCACCCAGTACCTCTTTGGTCAGGGCAAAGAGGATGTCCAGGCAGTGGATCTTGTCCCCCGGCACCATGGGCAGGTCTAACGTGATAAGCTTGATCTTGTTGGGTTTGGCGATTTTCAGCGGCTCCTGCAGGGTGTCCACAAAGTCAGAGAGGCGGCTGTAGTCGATGAACTGAGTGGCATCAGGGTCGAACTTCTCCCAGGTCTCATAGAACATCTCAAAGTCGTCCTCACTGAGGGGCTCGCTGCTCTCCTCAGTGGCCACATTGAAATTCTCTAGGATGATGGCAATGTACATGTTGACCACGATGAGGAAGGAGATGATGATGTAGCTACAGAAGAAACAGATGCCAATGGATGGGTTGCCACAGTCACCCTTGAAGCTGGTGCCTGGGTTCTCCAGTGTCGGGTCGCAATCTGGGGGCCCACTATTGAGGATGGGGTTCAGAAGCCCATCCCAGCCGGCTGACGTGGTGATCTCAAAGAGGCAGATGATACTGTTGCCAAACGTCTCGAAGTTGAACATGTCGTCGATGCCCGACTCTTTCTTGACATACGCAAAGTTAGACATGCCGAAGATGGAGTAGATGAACATGACCAGGAAGAGGAGGAGGCCGATGTTGAAGAGAGCAGGCAGTGACATCATGAGAGCAAACAGCAGCGTCCGGATGCCCTTGGCCCCACGGATCAGACGCAAGACTCGCCCAATCCGCGCCAATCGGATCACACGGAACAGTGTGGGCGACACAAAGTATTTCTGTATCAAGTCAGAAAGCGCAAGGCCTACGAGAGAAACAGAGGCTGGGTCAGGCACTGGGGACATGGAGGGCTGGGGGGGCCTGGCCCTGTGTGCTCAACTCTCTGACTATGGCTTCTCCTAGAGCTCTTGGCGGCCCCGGGTTACTTTGTCCTGCCAGCTGGAGGTGGGATATATTCAAATTGATGGGGTCCAGCCTTGAATCTGCTTGCAGTTACCACAGGTGAGAGAGAGTGGGGAGGAGAGAACAGCTGTGTTCTCATCTGTAAAATGGGCGTGAGGTGGCACCACCATGAAAGAGTGAGGCCAGGCCCGCTAAGCGCGTAGGAAGTAAATGCCTGGCATGCAGTAAACACTCAATAAACAGTACCTGCTTACTGTCGTGGTTGTAGACAAATCTGTCCTCCTCTCAGTGTATAGATTCTGGAACCCTTTTCTTATTTGTGTGGATGTTTACATGTATGTACATACTTATTTGTATGTGTGTATATGTGTGTGCACGCACACAGGCCAGAGGAAAACCACATATATCATTTCTCCTCAGATACCATCCACCTTGTTTTTTTGAAAGAGGGTCTCTCACTGGCCCTGAGGCCCAATGATTAGGCTAGGCTGGCTGGCCAGTGAGCCCCAGAGTCCCAACTGTCTCCACTACCTCAGTGCTGAGATCACAAGCGAGCGCCACCATGCCTGAGGATCAGACCCAGATCCTTGTGCCTTCGAAGCAAGCTCTTGATCGACGAACTACCCCTTCAGCCCTCTCTCGTCCTCTTGGCTCAGCATGTGGCCGCCCAAGAACACACCTGCTGGCTTCATGTGTGCACAGATGACAGGTGGCCTGTGAGCCATGCGTCCCTCTGTGCATCACAGGTAAAAGAATGGCAGGCACATGTGTGTGCTTTGTATAGGTGTGTGCGTATGCCAGGTCTATGTGCATGAGGGAAGGCTTCCCTGAATGACTCATCTTGGTGTGGCCCTGCCAGCTCACCCACGATGGACAAGATGACCACCACAAAGTCGAAGATATTCCAGCCGATGGTGAAGTAGTAATGGCGCAGGGCAAACATCTTGAGCACACACTCCCCGGTGAAGATGATGATGAAGACCATGTTGATGTTGTATAGGATGTCCACCTTGAGCTGGCTCTGGTCATCCGTCTCCACCATCATGGTAACCATGTTAAGGCAGATGAGGATCATGATGGAGATGTCAAACACCTGCTTTGTCACGAAGTCGTACACCATGCCCTGGATCTTGTTCTGCAGTGAGACGGAACACGCACATGTGGGACATGGAGTCAGGGAATACGGTCAAGACCCAGACAGGATGGGTATGAGCGGGAGGTGCAGCAGAGCCCTGGGGAGGGGGAGGGGAGAGGGAGGATGTAGGTGCGAAGCATGGTGGTGAAGTATGCCACAGGAGGGAAGGGTCTGGAAACATCATTCTCTGAGTGTGGGGTGAGTCTGTGTTCAATGGTCCCCATTTTAGGGCCCTTCCTCCCTACACAGTCCCTAAATCATCTCTACCCCTCTTCCCAAGTCATCGTTTGCTGGGGTGTGTGCACATCCACTTCCGGCTCCTTGTTGGGGCCCCTGTCTCACAGGCCAGAGGTCTCACTTGTGGTGGGCACTGGGAAGTCGTGTGGGGCTAGGTGAGGGGTAATCAGTAACAGGAGCCTAGAGACGTCTGCTGTGTTTGTGAGCAGAGCCTTGTGAGGCTGAGTCCTCGAACGTGGAGCAGAGCAAAGGCTGCGTGGACATCTGCTGTCCCCTCCCCTCAGGCGGCAGCCGGGTACAGGCCACTGGGGGAGGGGCCAGAGCCTGATACCTGAGGTCGGGGAATGGGCTTCTGGGGCTTCTTGGAGCCAAGCTTCTTCATGGCGTTGTAGTATTTCTTCTGCTCCTCTGTCATGAAGATGTCTTTCCCTCCAAAGTATAGCAGGACGGAGACAGTGAGGATGAGGCGGGTCCCTTTCCCTGCTCCCAGGACCCCCCCCCCCAAGCACTGCCTTGAAGGTGGACCGTACCCCTGGAGAAGTGTCTGGTGGGGCTGGAGGTGGAGGGGTGGGGAAGGGGGAAACTGGCTCTGAAGAAGGGTGGATGAGTAAAAGGAGGAGGGAGCAAGAGGGTTTCAGGCCCATTTCCCAGTTTCAAGCTAAGTTCCACTAATGCTTCACCAATGGGTCCTTAGCTTGTGTCTACTTAATTTATTGTTATTGAGATAGGGTCTCTCTTTGTAGCATAGGCTGGCCTCAAATACACTAGGTAGCCCAGGCTGGTCTACAACTGGTGAACTTATTGCCCCAGACCACTTAGTGCTGAAACTCAGGTGTGTGTCACCTTGTCCGGCTCCACGTCCACCTCATATTATAGATTGGGAAAATGAAACCTATAGGGGTCAAGTCATGGTTCGGTCCACTAATGGGATTTCAATCTATGCTTGCTACCCCAGGTATCCAGGTGGGTGACTGCTCAGGGCTTCTCAGGCAGCTGATGACTACAGGAAGAAATAAGTGGATGGGGCACGGGGGTGGGAGTCATTTGGGGAGGGCCAGATACTCATCTTCTTCTTCTGTTGGTTGAAGTTGTCAATGATGACGCCGATGAAGAGATTGAGCGTGAAAAAGGAGCCAAAGATGATGAAGATGACGAAGTAAAGGTACATGTAGATGTTCACCTCATAGTGCGGCTGCTCCTCCTTCTGCAAGGTGAGGTACATGCACCAGGTTTCTCTCTGCTCCCCAAAGTACTATGAACGGGACTCCCCTCCTCCCCAGGCTGCAGGGCTACCAAAGAGCTAGCACGGCAAGGTGGAGGTGGGGTGGACGTGGGGATGGCAGAATGGACCACTATCAGCTCCCTCTAACTTACTTATCAACCCAGTGAGCCAACTCACCTCCCGGGAGTCCACGGCTGCATACATGATGTCCATCCAACCCTTGAAAGTGGCCTGAAAGATCATGGCGGTCATGAGGTGGGGGGTGTCCCATACACCACCATTCATGTCTCCCTCCCTTCCCTAATCAAGCTCTCTCCAAAGACTGCCTGCCAGGACCTCACTGGGCAGCATCAAATAGACTAGAGAGAGATAAACACTACCTCCAGGTCCCGTGGTATTGCAGAAGGGGTTGGCCACCCCTAACATGGAATAGTAGATTCTGATATGATGAGGGACAACTGGGCACTTCTACCTGGTTCTGAGAAGGCTCAGTGGGTGTCACTCACCACTTGAAGGAGGGAGAGATAGCCCAGACCCACGTTGTCATAGTTGACCTTGACGTTCATCCAGCGGACCTGGCCCGTGTGCATGAGGCTTTCACACTCAGACTTGTTGTTGACCACAGAGATGTCGAATCTCTCAGAGGTAGTTGTGTTGACACAGTAGTAGAACTTCCCAGCAAACAAGTTGACCCCCATGATGCTGAAGATGAGCCAGAAGATGAGGCACACAAGGAGCACATTCATGATGGAGGGGATGGCTCCCAGGAGGGCGTTCACCACCACCTAGGGGCCAGGGTGGTGGTGGCGGTCATTACTAGGGCCACTCTCGGGCATCTCACAGGGGACTCCCAGCCAGGGGACCAGGCATTGCTGAGCACTGGCAGTCAGGAAGGGCTAATCTTAGCCAGTCCTAGTGTGGGAGGAGTCTGCTGGGGCATATGGGTGCAGGGGCAAGGGGTAGGGGTAGGGAGCTAGCAGACTGGTCCTCTAGAAGGGCTCTTTGCTTGGCTGGAGCCATCAAGGCAGAGTGAGGGTGCCTGGCTTCTCTGGAAGCTGCCAGGTCATGGATCACAAGGCAGGAGATAAACACGCTTTCTTAGCCCCATAGGAAACTCAGCCCATGTGACCTGGCTTGGCTCACCGCATCAGTGAAAGACACAAAAAGGACCTAAAAGAAGCCACCAAGGTCCGCAGAGCAATAGGACTCAGGGTCAGGCCCCTGTCCCTTACCGGCCCTGGCCATATAGGCTTCCCAAACTGTTTTAGTCTTGGATGAATCTGAGAATTGTGCCCCCTGCTGCCACCACCCCCACCCCCTTTTAAGTGTTTTTGAGACAGGGTCTCATGTATCCTAGGCTGGATTTGAACTTGCGGTGTAGCTGAAGAAGCCCTTGAGCTGCTACTCCTGCCTCCACCTCCTGAGTGCTGGGATTAGGGGTGTGTGCCACCACACCTAATGTATGAGGTTCAGGGGATTGTCCCCAGGGCTTTGTGCATGCTAGGTGACCACTCTACCAACCGAGCCACACCCTAGCCTGATCAGTTCCCCTTTAGCTAAGAGCTATCTCACGACCTCTAGACAGAATTGGTGGCAGGAGCTGGGGATGCTATGTGTTTCTTCAAACCACTCAGTTGGCCACGAGCAGGTTATTTCTCTCAGCGGGCTGAGGTCCCCAGCACCAGGACTGGGGGCCCAGCCGTGGGCCAGGATCTTACATGAACTGGGGAGGTCGGAGTGCTTAGGCTGAGCTTGCTACTGCCCCGGAATGAGATCTCGTTCCCAGCAGATCTTCCGTCCCTAATGGAAGTCCCATTGATCTTGCCCAGACCCTGTGTTCACCTGTGACTTCCGCTCTCTCGGACCTCTGGGGATCTTCACTAAAGTGCCCCTGAAGCCAAAGGCATGGTTCCACGCTCAAGATGGGCAGGCTCAGTACTGAAGCAGAAGTACTTGCTCACGTGTTCCTGTTACAGGGCCCTGGGGGCCCCCAATCTGAGGTGGGGAGACCCGTAAACCCACAGGCCAACCTTCCTTCCTCTTGCCTCAAGCCTTCCGGGCCACTGCAGCAGCCTCTGCTGCCCTCCAGTGGTGGCAGGGGTAAGTTAATGGGAACGGGGCTTCCTGGAGACGGGTCACAGCCCTGAACTCCAGTCATCAGCAATTTGAGCCTTCTGCCTGCTCCTGGTTGACCGCCATATTGTCATGTACCTTGTGACCCTGCCCCATGGGTGGCTGCTCCCACGCCCCGAGTCCTCCTCAGCATTCCCCCATCCAATACTCACCCTCATGCCCTCAAATCGCGACAGTGCCCTCAGGGGACGCAGGGCCCGTAGTGTGCGCAGGGATTTGATGGGCCCCAGCTCAGAGTAGCCCAGCCAGTTGGCCACTAGGCTAATGATGGAGACCTGTAGGAAATGTGTGTTCAGGAGGTGCAGGGTCCCCGGCTTTCCTCCAGCCTGGGACAACAAGAGGCGAATCCCAATTTCTGTTTGTCTCCTGTAGATCTCATCCCTGGTGGATGATCCTGTCTGGTGGGAAGAGTAGCCTGTGACCTCTAGTACCCCTCAATGATGTCACCTATGACAGTAAATGGGAAAGATAGTGCCTGTCTCGTGTGGTCCTGTATGCCTATCAAAGAACATATGAACAGGCATCATAAGGCCCCAGGCCTGGTCTGGAAGCAAGAAGTCAGCCTATAGGGAGCAGTGATGACCTGGGGGCCTGACTCTCTGCGTGAATTTGGAGAGGTCCCACCTCCAAGAGCCTGGGCTCCCTAAAGGTCTTGACATCTGACTGTGTGACCAGACCCAGGGGGACTCACGTCCACAATGAGGAAATCAAGCCAGCACCAGGCGTTGGTGAAATACACCTTGAAGCCGTAGGCCACCCACTTAAGCAGCATCTCCAGGATGAAGATGTAGGTGAAGACCTTGTCGGCATATTCCAGGATGGTGCGGATGACCCGCCGCTGCTCGATGTAGATGTCCTCGAAGGCCTGGGGACACCAGGACAACCCACAATGGCCGGGGGCTCAGAAGCTGGGGCAAGCAAGCTCTGTTCTCCCATCCTGCCCGCTGCTGCTGGTTCCCAGGGCTCTTCCTCGGGAGGTAGATTGGGACACCCCTGAGCATCTTCCAGCCCCCATCTATCACTGGAAGGGGCAAACTTCCTGGTAGGGAAGGAGTCTTAGTTCTCAACCAGCTGCTGGAGGTCCACAGTGATGTACCCTCAGTCCTGTCTACCCTTAACTCCAAATTCCCAGGGCCCACCTGCCTCCCCACCGGCTGAGGGGACCCTGTCTTCTACTTTGGAAACTGATGCTGGGCTGGGGAGAGACCACTGCTTTCCTGTAAGCAGGAGAGCTGGAGTTCAGAATCACAGAACCTATATCAGGCTAGATGGAGGTGGTCGCTTGCTTATAATCCCAGTACTCAGGAAACAGAGACAGGAAATCCCCGGAGCAAGATGGCCAGCCAGCCTAGCCTAGACGGTAAGTTCTGAGTTCAGTGAGAGACCCTGCTTCAATACAGAAAGTGGAGAACAGCGGAGAAAGGCGGCTACCATCCACCTCAGGCCTCTGCATGCATGCACACAAACACACATACAAACATGCACACACACACACACACACACACACACACACACACACACACACTTCTAAAAATATAGATGAGTCTCCCTTTGGATTCTCTGGGTTTGGAAGTGTCCCGTCTACATCCACCCTTGGCATAAAGGGGTGGGACCCTTAGGGAGCAAGGCCCCTGCTTCGGCTCCCGCCCTGCCCTCCGGGGGAGGGTGCCTACCAGGGCTCCGCTGCTGAGCAAGATCATGAAGACAATAAAGGTCTCAAACCAATTGTGTTCCACAATCTTGAAACAGGCCCGGCGCAGCGTCCACCACATTTTCCCACGGCCCTGGGAGATGTCCACATAGAGGCAGGGGCAGCGCTGCACACAGGCTGGGAGGGGGTGGTACAGGTCACTGGCCATTGGGGGTTTCAGGAGGCACCTTCCCACCCTCTGCCATGCCACCCCAAGACCAGGGCCCCACCTCCTCCCCACACCTGGCTCCATCTGGTTCCCATGGGGGCTCTTTCTACAGCCTATTCCATCCATGTGCCAACTGCTGCTAGGACGGACACAGGAGGAAAAAGATGGTTCACAAGCAAGCTCAGGACGTCAGCTGCCCCATGCTTCCCCATCTCAGCCAGCCTGGGCTTCTCAGGCTCAGGGGTTGGCTTCCCCGGTAAGGCAAGTTGAGAGGCACCAGGGAAGAAACCCCTGTGTATTTCTGTAGCCCTCCTCTGGCCTGGGTCGGGGGCTGGTCTGTAGGTGTGTCCTCACCCTCCGTGAAGCATTCCTCAGGCAGCTCCCCGTCAGGGTTCTCCTCAGCCTGCTCCTCAGGGTCCTCTTCAGGGGGCTTGTAGTCAGCTGTGCTGCAGACGGAGGAGTTCCCGTCATAGACAGGCGGTAGCGGCTTCTGTGGGGGCCACAGGGCACATGACTCCTGGGTCCCAAGAGATCCCCGTATTCTCCCAACAGGTGGGGTAGTATGGGAGATCAGACAGAAAGGAGAAGAGAGTGGAGCAGGCTCCATTCATTCATTAGTTCATTCATTCATTCATTCACTTAGTTCACCTTGCGAAACTATCACTACCCCCTGGCGAAAGCACCCTAGTGACCAAGCTGTCCTCAGTTCTGCCCTCATGGCACTTGAGACCTCGGAAAGCACAGTGCAGTCATGAGGAGGCCTCCTGAGGACAGGAGACGAGCTAAGGGATGCTTGGTGGGGGATCAGCCCGGTGGGGTCCCGCGAGGTGTAGGGAGGAAAGGAGGGGTCAGCAGAGGAAAGGAGGCCCGAAGGAGCTTTTGAAGGGGCAAGGGTGAGAAGCAGAGCCAAGGGAGCTCTGGGCTGCCGCAGCTGCAGAGAGCAGACACATGGTGCCCCCAGAGTCCAAGCCTTCCCACCCCCAGGGGCTGTTTGGCTGAGAGGTCCAGAGAGGATGGAAAAACTTTCCCCTGCCAAGGCTCCAGTGTGGCGCCAAGGGAATCTGATCAGAGTGGGGGCGGGGTGTGGGGGCTGGTGCTCTGGCCTAGCTAGGCCTCCTCCAACCCCCCCCAACCCTCCACACACCCCTCCACCCCCCGCCGTAATCCCAGACCAGATTCTCAGGCTGGCCTCCACGCTTCAAGGAGATCCTTCATGGTGAAGTCTCTGAAGAGAAAGATGAATTGGGCAGCCCCCTCCGTGTGTGTGTGTGTGTGTGTGTGTGTGTGTGTGTGTGTGTGTGTGTGTGTGTGTGTTGTAGCTCTGTACCCAGTGCACTAGCCAGAAAACCAAGGGCGGGCAGGTCTTGCTGCCAGTTGACAGAAAGGAAAACTGAGGCATGGAGCATTTAGCCAATCAGAGCATACACTCTGGCCCCATCCTCACACGTCAGCTCTCATAATGGCCCTTGAAGCTCGGCTTGCTCCTCAGACTTCTTGCCTTCCCAGAGCCCTGGGCCTGCCCCTCCCGCAATGAGTTCCTAATACCGAGGTCGAGGCTGGTGCTGTGTTTCCTGGGGGTATTTATAGCACCGTAGCGGGCACTCAAGCCCCCGGTAAGTCAGCATGCCACCACGTACTGGTGTGTGCTGGGGGTGGGGGTAAGGAGTCGAGAGCTTTTAGGGCAAAGTTCATTAATGCCCCGCCAGGCCCTGGGTTGAAGGGTGGGTGGGTATCGTCCCTTGCTCCCATCTTGTTAATCTTTTCCCATTAGGACTACAGGAAGTGTGAGGTGTTCAGAGTCAGCTCCCCCAAGGCAGCCCCGTCAGGGTCCCAGACTTTGAGGGTGACCACCACCTGTGTCTCAGTAACCTCCTAATTCCTCAAAGGGAGGGCCAGGAGGAGTGAGCTATCTTAGGCCAGCAGGGCTGAGTGGATCAGCACTCTGACTTGTCCTTGTTTCCAAACTCCCATTGGGTTCTCTTGTTGTCCTCATATCGCTGGCCTGGACCTGGTACCCTGTACCTAGTACCCTGGTACCAGGTCCAGGAAGTTTGGAATAGGCCTAGAGGAATTCTATGCAGAGATAAATGACTATGCCACTTTCAGCCAGCAGGGGGGCTTTGGCGCTATAGATCAGATCTGAACATAAGTGGGGCAAAGACTGGGCAAGGGCCTTCAAGCCCAGGGGGTTATTTAAGAGAGGCCTGTTGGAGCTGGGCATAGTGGTACAGCCTTTAATCCCAGCACCCAGGAAGCAGGGGCGGATCTCTGTGAATCCCGGGCCAGCCTGGTCTACAGAGTGAGTTCCAGGATAGCCAGACACAGAGAAATTCTGTCTCGAAAAACCAAAAATATCTGTCCAAGAATGCCATCTGGTGGCAGAAAGGGCCCAGGTAGAGTTTTGGCCTGGCCAATTGTAGTAATCCTGGTGCCTGCCCTAACACTCACAGAGAGCTGACTGTGTGAGCCAACACAGCACAACGCCACAGGGCAGGAACCTCTCACCGATGAAGAAACTCGGGGTCAGAAAGGTTTTATGACTTGTCTAAAGTTAAGCAAAAATGTAAAGCTGGGTGTTGCTGCCCCCCCGTCCCCTGCGGCCAGCCCCTCAGTGGCATCACCCCGTCCCCCCGTCCCCTGCGGCCAGCCCCTCAGTGGCATCACCTTGATGTCTTCAGGCTCCGAGAACGTATCAGTCTCCTCCTCTGTGGGCATCTCCAGGTCGGACTCCTCGGAGGCAATGGGCACCTGAATGGTGAGGTAGGGGTTGTTGATGAAGTTGAGGTGATCCAGCTCGATGCTGGAGCGGGGGCCATCAGTCAGGCCCACGTGGTTCAGGATGTGATTGTCCTTCAGGTCCTTGTCTCCATCTTCGGGTGGCGGTTCCTTCTTCTCGTCCTCGGGAGCACTTTCCCCAGTCTCCCCAGCACCCCCGGGCTCACCCAGGCTAAGCATGATGTCCTTGGGGCTCAGGATCTTGCCGCGCAACAGCCCCAGGAGGAAGGCTTTGGCAAAGCCGATGCCCCACTTGATGCGCCCGATGGCGATCTGCAGGTTGTTCATCTCGCCGTCTTCGTCTGATGCCGCCAAGCTGTCGGCACTGAAGGAACTCAGCAGGAGAGCCAGGAACAGATTCAGGACCTGAAAAGCAAGGGCAGAGGGTGTCAGGCCAGCCAGGGTCTGGGGGATACCACCTTCACCCCAATGGGGTCCTCAGGACTATACGGCAGAACTGCCTCATGTTGGGCACTTGAAAGGATGCCATCTGCCTGGTGTGGCAGTACACACCTTTAATCCCAGCACTCAGGAGGCAGAGGCAGCAGATGTGAGTTTAAGGCAGCCTGCTGGTCTACATAGTGAGTTCCAGGACAGCCAGGACTATGTAGAGAGACCTTGTCTCAAAAATAAACACATAAATAAATAAATAAACAAATAAATAAAAATAAAGGATGTCATCTGCTGGGGTAGATGGTACTCATGATTGCCAGCGGGGAGGGCTGCTAGTATCAGTCCCACCCTACAGATATGGAAACTGAGGTTCATGTCTATCATGGGACTCTGGTGCCCAAGGCAGTGACAGGGTTTGGGGAGGGTGCTGGATGACAGAGGCTCTTACTGAGGTTCACTGTTGCCCAGGTCCAAGCTTCTAAACTTTTAGGAATCCTTTTTTTTCTTACTGTTGTTTTGTTTGTTTGTTTTACAAGACAGGGTTTCTGTGTGCAGCCCTGGTTATCCTTGAATTCACTCTGTAGTCCAGGCTGGCCTCGAACTCACAGAGATCCACTTGCATCTGTCTTCTGAGTGCTGGAATTAAAGGCATGTGCCACCAATATCTGACTGCTGACTAGATCTTAAAAGGCCACAGTCAACCCATCCACTCCCTCCATTTTGTTTTCCAGGGGACAATGACTACATACCTGCCTCGTGGCCCCAGAGAGCCCACAG